ATGTCACTATAATTTCCAAACTGATTTTTGAATCAATATCGTTGAGAATTTTCTAACACCAATTAACAAGTTTAGAAATTATAATAACATATTTTACAAGTTGAAAAATAAATTTAATACACAAAAAATTTACAAATTAATTTTTTTTTTATCATTTTACACGTTTAACAATTTTTATGGGTTTTACTCTTTTAAAATCGAAAAAAAATAGATTTTTTTAAATTAAAAATTGATTTTTTTTTTTGAAAAAAAACTACCCTAATGATTGGTGTGAAGCACTTGAGAAGTGAGTGGTGAGGTAAAGGTTATGCATGCAAACGTGACGGAGGAGAAGAAGGAATGGGCTCTAAAAGGAAAACCAAACCAAAAAAAAAGTAATCTTTTTTTTTCCTACAACCTTTTTGAAGCCACATAATGGGAACAAAAGCAATTCCAAAAGCTCCCTCCTTTGCTTGGTCCATTATTGGGAAATTTAAATACAATCTATTAATTTCATAGTTTTTGGTCAATTTATTCGAATTCTACATGCCATATATAGTTATAATTATTCATAGACTATATCAATCTATATGATCCAAGAAGTCGCATGGTACAACGTTTTTTGATTATTTGTTACAAAGGCTATTGTATGTTTCAGCTAGTAATAATTAACGCTTAACCCTAAATATCCACTTCTTCATGACAACCCGAATCCAAACTCTTTCATGGTCGTACGAATCTGTATGAGATAGTAAGTTAATTAGTTCCATATCCAACATTTTCAATCTATTTTATAGTATTATCTTGAATTTGATAACTTTCCAATTTCATATTTAACTTGATATTTATTATGTCAAAACTATCCGAACTATGCAGGTATCCTAATAATTTATATAAAAAAAAACACATAAAATCATACAAACTTCTTATATATATAAACTGTTTTGGATTGCGCCAACATCGAACCTGAAAACATTTGGAAGCATCCAAACTTTATAATAAAAATATCATAAACTTACAAATTTAAAAGTATCGTACGATGGTTATATATATACTAACTTTGGTGGTTTATATACATCGCTTAACGACACAAAGTAATACACATATGCGTGTACGTCAGTACGTACATGTGTACGTATATGCGTATGTGGTATGTGTACATAGTATTTCCTCTAAAGGAGAAGAAGAAGAAGAGGATAAGAGTCTCAGTTCAGCTTTTAGGAATCTTTGAACGACATGTGGTTTTTATACAAAAGGAAGCAGTATATATGCCCCTCTCCCTCTCTCTCTTGTTTTTTAAGCAACATTACTAATATTCGATTTTTCCTTTTTCTGAACATTGGATGATCATTCGTCTACCAGAATCTCATATACACATAGATTCGATATGTACATATACATATATATATATATATATATATATATATATATATATATCATATAGAGATTCGTGATTTTTCTCACTGTGCAATATTACTCCCCTATGGTTCCTGATTCGATTTCTCCTCCCATCTACGTTAACCTTTTTTTCCCTATTATAACACAGTGCATGGAATCTTTTTTTTTTTCCGTATGCGGGATCGAATCTACTCAGAAACCAAATATATTTTGTGTTTTGTAACTTTATAGATAGCTTAGCTAGGGTTTTATAAATGCAGACAAAGAAACGAAACCATTATTTTTTTATAATTATGATTTTATTGGAACCGGGTGCAAAGGGAAAATTTACATCATGCATGAAGTTTCCATATATATATAATATAGATATATGCGTGTGTGTAGCGATCATTTTTTTTTCATGTAATGAAATGAACCGGTTGAAATGTGAATTTACATTCTTACTTAGAAAAACTCTCAGAATTTTAAAATATCTTCTCTATAGGATATTTTATATATATCGACGACCACGATAAAGCCGTATATGCATGAATTTCATACATATATAAATGTTTTTAAAAAAATTTGAAAATAAAAATCAAATTATCTCATCTTTACGTGTACTTGAGAGAATGTACAAAAAAAAAAAGATGAGGGAAAAGGATAAAGAAGATAACGAAAAAAAAAGCATTACTATAAGTAACTTTTGTGATCATAACAAAAAAGAAAAGCATAAAGAAGATAATGAAATAGTGGAAGATGTTTTCGTGAATAACAAAGCTATAAAGTATAAATGTGATATATATGTAACTTTCATCATACATCCTTTCCTGCCCGAAAATGATAACATGTTGCAATTATTTTTTGGACTGTCATAGCTCCTCGATCATACAATAATCATATGAAATCGATATATATATATATATATATATATATGAAATCATATAAGTTTTGCCCTAATGATTTGTATTTGGTACGTATGTATGAAACCCAAGTTCTGTTATAACGCCATTTCCCCCTTTTTAACATATGAACTCGATTTGTAACATAGTTTTTTTTTACATATTTTACAACATGGTTAATCTGTTATAGCGACATAAAAATTACAAGTGGTTTTAATTAAACTAATGTTTTTTTAGTAACAATTGCCCCCGAGTGCAATTACGTGGAATAGCGCCCTTTAATCATACAATACTATGGAATAATATCATATTATTATAACTAAATATATAGAAAGTGTATTTGAAGAAGATTTCTTTTATAAAGCAAAAACCAAGACAAGAAATAAAGCATATAGAAAAAAAAAACAGGAATGCTCGTCTTTGTTGAAACACAGGTTTCATTACATGAGTGGTGCCAAACTAATTAGGATCCAATTAAACAATTTTTTTAAAAAAAATATAGATTTTAAAATGTTATCTTTGTGATGGGTAGGACATTAATTAAAGACCCAATTATTTCTCACTAACTCAGTGTGAGGAACTAAGCATAAAGATATACCACTACGTAACCAAAAGGACCCACAAGGAAAAAAAAACCCTAAAAATGATGATGATAAATAAATAAATAATAAATATAATTTAATGAAATAAAAAAAAAAAAAGGGAAAATCCTATGATGAAGTTGTAGTTGTTCCATCTAATGTGACCTAATTTCATTGGAAAAAGACGTTTGATTCTTTTACAAAACATTAGCATATGATGATTTCTTCACATTTTCCACCAAGCAATTAGTCTATTTGCTTCTGTTTACTTTATTCGTCTCATAGTATTCGAATTCTAATTTTATTTTTATATAAGATTCCGTATAATCAATCAATAATACCACCGAATTTATTATTTCTAAAACTATGATTGTTAGTTGCGTATCGTTTAACATATCAGAATCTATAAAATTCCTATAACTAGATATTTGGTTTTTTCGCACTAAATGAATTAAATTGATTAAAATAACATAAATAATTTTCATTTTTATTATAACTTCACAAAAAAAAAACCACGCTTTTATATGAAGTTCAAAAATCTTCAGAAGAAACTTATATTTGAAATTTAATTTTTATTTTCACTTGAAATTCTATATATATATATATATATTTATTTAATTTTTGCATGTACATATGATTAAAGACTTGAATTCGAAGGCTGTCCGCCGGGAATCATAGAAGTGATAAATGAAGCACCCTTTAAGGTAAAGAAGTATATATATATATATATATATATATATAAACATAACTATGAATTTAATAAACATGATGATCATTCATTACTTTATACTTATACATATGATTCGATTGCCATCATCTATTCATATTTACTGTATATATTTTATCATCACTTTTATTCATCATATAAAAAGAGACCATCGAATATTTATTTATAAAATGTGTCACGCTATTCCATTTGATACTCTAAAACTCGAGAAAAAGAATTTAGCCTTTTTTATATAAATTTTAACCAAACCTATCAGTATATGTATATAAGATATTTCATTAAGCTGTTAATTAATGCAACTTGTACAAACTTTTTTGTGTACACTGAATTTTTTTTTTCTTCTCGTATTCTGTATTTTTTTTTGTATTTCTTGAAAAAAAAAATCGGATTCCAATAATTCCCGGAACCTGAAAAAACCGATGGCAGATTTTTGCTAAGCAAAATTTAATTACGTATCTTAGTACACATAAATGACAAAAAGTGTATACATACCTAACAAATTTCCTTTTTTTTAATTAAACTTCTTTCTTAAAAAGAAAAATAAAATCAAGTATAAAAAAGAATAAGACAAAAGAGAAACATTGAAAAAGTTCGGTTTCCTCCCTAAAATACATTGCTTATGTGACGAGGATACTAATAAAAATTGATTAATAAAATCATTAATAATTAGCCAAATCGTGACGGGTTGCGTTGGATAAGATGGTTGCTCACATACATACATACATACATACATACATACATACATACATACATACATACATACATACATACATACATACATACATACATACATACATACATACATACATACATACATACATACATACATACATACATACATACATACATACATACATACATACATACATACATACATACATACATACATCATCGATTTAAATAATAAAATCACAGACCAAATATCCGCCGAGTTGAACCAAGAGAACCCTCCATCTCATTCAGAGGTGTCACTGTTCCGTCCTGTTGAATGGATGCAGTAATTTCACCAACTCAGACGACTCCACGGCAGTGAGACACGTGGCAGTCTCCGAGGGCATCAGGCTTCACGGATAGATTTTTCCCGGCAACCGACGTCAGCCGGTGCGAAATCACAGACCAAATATCCGCCGAGTTGAACCAAGAGAACCCTCCATCTCATTCAGAGGTGTCACTGTTCCGTCCTGTTGAATGGATGCAGTAATTTCACCAACTCAGACGACTCCACGGCAGTGAGACACGTGGCAGTCTCCGAGGGCATCAGGCTTCACGGATAGATTTTTCCCGGCAACCGACGCCAGCCGGTGCGTACGTTAGGCACGGCGGCGCAGGATAAGGTCGCCTTTGAGAAAAGATGCCATCTTTTTTTCCCTGGAGTTTTGTCGTTAGTCGTTGCTTTAAACTTGATTATTATTTATTTTGATTATTCTATGCCTCATGGAGAAAAGAAATGAAAGGGAGAGGGCCGAAGAAAGAGAGGTGAAAAAAAAGTTTTTTTTTTCTTTTCCATGATGGGAACGCTTGACCTTTAAGTTTTGACTGTAGTGCCAAAGAACTCAACTTTCTTTCTCCTCTCCTGATTTCTGTGGGGGGAAAAACCTTCTGTTTGATCAGACGAAACCCCGAATGTGTTTCCAATGGATTTTTCAGTGGTCGGCTCTTGAATTCATGATGGGTTTCACTTGTTATTGAAGGAGGTGAGTAATTTGTTTTGTTTGTTTCCCCTGTATCCAGATGTTTGGTTGCTGAGAAACTGAAATCTGTAGACCCTCTCTCTTTTTTTTGTCCATTTTTTCTCGTTTGAGACATTTGGGCTTCTGGGTCATGCTCTATCGCCTCTAAAGGTACAATCTTGGGGAGAGAGAGAGAGAGAGAGAGAGAGAAGAAGATAGTATAAAACAATAGTCCTTTTTTGTTAGTGCCTTGTTTGTGTTTCCCAACTTGGGTTTCGACTTTTGAAGCTAAAGCTGGTGTTTTGCTGTAAAAAAAAAGTGTCAAACTGATGAAGAACTTGTGCTGTTTATGATTTGTGTTAGCGACCAATGTGAATTTTCCGACCAGCTGTTGGATTGGATCTGTCAAAGGTGAGCAGAAGAAAGATGTGTCCCCTTTGCTTTAGCTTGTTCTTTCCGTTTGTGATTGCTGAAATTCTTTTTCCATGGCTTGAGCTTGTAATTGGTTTTGTGTGAGATGCAGACGATGAGCTCTTCTTCTCCAGCACAGTTTGCATCCTTCAGAAACATGGGAATCTACGAGCCATTTCAACAGATAGCCGCTTGGGGGAATTCTTTCAAGGCAGACATGAACAACAATGGTAACAGTAACAACAATACAAGTCCCAACACTGCTTCCTCCACTGTAATTCAAGTGGAAACTAGAACAAATGACAACAACAACACCAACAACATTAACGAGGTGAAGACTTGTGTGTTTATGTCTTGTCTGGTTGGTTTTTTGGTGTTACTCGCTGCTTACTGGTTAATCATGTGCAGGTGAATTATGACTTTTCACACAGTCCTGTTGAAGCAGAACCTTCTAATGACCCATCTGAAGGCCGGGTCGCTGATAAGGTTACACTCTCTTATCTTACTCTCTATAGCTTGTTCCAGTCCAAAGACAGTGGCAATGAGATTGAGGGCATTGTAACAGTTCTAGACAGTTATGAATTCAACAGTTAGTATGTTTTGTTTCCTGTCTTTTGCTCTCAGACTAGTTGTGCAAAAGGTTTTCAATCTGAGATGCAAGAATTGGTGATATCAATAGGTTTTCCAAGAACTGTTACCGAATGATAACCGAGCAGTTTTTTTTTAGGATTTTGGTTACTGATTCCTTAATCTTTAAGGAAGATACACTAAAGTTGTTTGTCATGATATGGACTGTATTATTTCTTTACATGCACAGCTACAACGTCGTTTGGCACAGAACCGGGAGGCTGCCAGGAAAAGCCGTCTGAGAAAGAAGGTAACGGAGACTTGATTTGATGCAACTTTGATGATAGAAAAGAGCTTGTTTTTTAGTTATATCGGCTCTGTCTCTGCAGGCATATGTCCAGCAGTTAGAAGAAAGCCGGTTAAAGCTGTCGCAACTGGAGCAGGAGCTCCAGAGGGCTAGGCAGCAGGTGAGGTGAATCTTTTTTATTTTCTGTTCGATGTTTGTTAAGTTTTATCTCTTTCGTAGTTACTCAACGATTCTTGGTTTCAGGGATTATACGTACGTAGCTCATCAGACACGAGCTTTCTCGGACCATCTGGCACTATGAACACAGGTTCGTGATTTCACATTTCGGGATCTCTCTTTATGCCCACTGGCCCTAATAAGCTGTTTCCAATGACCCATTATTTGCAGGGATTGCTGCTTTTGAGATGGAACATGCCCACTGGTTAGAAGAACAGAACAGGCGAGTTAGTGAGATTAGAACCGCACTTCAAGCTCATATAAGCGACATAGAGCTCCGTATGTTGGTGGATAGCTGCCTGAACCATTACGGAAATCTCTTCCGAATGAAAGCTGATGCTGCAAAAGCCGATGTCTTTTACTTGATATCGGGTATGTGGAGAACGTCAACGGAACGCTTCTTTCAGTGGATTGGAGGCTTCCGCCCGTCTGAACTGTTGAACGTAATTGCCCTTCACTTAAAGACTTTCATCTATGTTTTTTTTAAAAAATCTTTTTCAGTTTCAACGATTAAGAATGGTGGTTTCTGTGAAACAGGTTGTGATGCCTTATCTCGAGCCCTTGACAGATCAGCAAATCTTGGAGGTGCGTAACCTACAACAGTCGTCTCAGCAAGCGGAGGATGCCCTCTCTCAAGGCATTGATAAGCTTCAGCAGGGTTTGGCTGAAAGCATAGTTCTTGAACCGGCTGATTCTGCAAATTATGGAGCTCATATGGCTGCAGCCATGGAAAGTCTTCAAGGTTTAGAAGGTTTCGTGAATCAGGTAAAACCCTAAAAGCATCATATTCTTCATAACCAGAAGAGAAAACACGAAGACATGTATGTTTTCTGTGTCTCAGTTTCTTAATCAGCCTCCATCTTTCCATTTTTTTCCCGCTCTTCAAAGCTTATAGGCCTTAAACTGAGGTACCAAACTGAAAAAACACTAAGAGAAAACCCGAAAGCTCAGATCTTTCTGTCTGCATAAGCATCCGGAGATGACCGAAAGCTCATCTCTTTCCGTCTGCATGAATGAACATTCAGACTGGAGGGGGAAAAAAAGATTCAGACATGACCCGAAAGCTCGTGTTTTTTACTGACTGCAGAAACATTCAAACTCTTTACTGTTTCTATCTCGAACAGGCGGATCATCTGAGACAGCAAACTCTGCAGCAAATGGCGAAGATCTTGACGACAAGACAAGCAGCTCGAGGTCTGCTCGCATTGGGTGAGTACTTCCACAGGCTTCGTGCCCTTAGTTCTCTCTGGGCGGCTCGTCCAAGAGAACCCACCTGAAGTTTTTTCTTTTCACGAGACAAGAACATAAGAACAAAAAGACAGAACACAGATTCAGACAGAGATGCAACTTCAGTTGAAGGTTATATAGGGTTTGTGTTTTAGTTTTTCAAGATTTCCAGCAAAAGCGTTAGTTGCAGAAAGTGGTTCTCCGTCATTAGATCCTTTTATCGGAATCGTTGTATTTTGTTTGCTTATGGAATGGAAATTCTCCAGAGGGAAGATGTAAATTTGCATGGGAATGTGTAACGTATCGATAAATAAGAAGAAGACGACGGCGACAGACATTTGTAATTTATGTGTGAATTCTGATCGATGTGATAATGTATGTCCAAAACTCGCTTTTCTGTATTTTTCAGGGACTAGAATGTGAATTTCAGTGTTGCAAGAGTTTGGTTGTTTTTGTAGTTTCAGACATTAAGGGCATTATCGTAAATGACACCGGAAAATGGCTCTGAGCTCGAGCTGTCCACAAAATTTTCCCGGGAAATTGATTTTCTTGTAATTTTCTGGGAAAATTAAAATCAAACGAGAAGAGTAATTCGGTTGGATTCCGGAAATCTCATTGTCGAAGGTTCTCCTTACGTTTTCGGGGATCAATTCAAACCTCCAACGAAAAGGAACTACCTTTGTTTCTTTTGAAATTCCGAATAAAGGGGAAATTTTCGGATTTGATTTCCGGGTTTGGCGAAATTTCTTCGATTTTGGACCGGAATTCGAAGCTATGAGCAATCTGCGAAGCATCTGGAGACCGCACGCGGTGTTCTCTTCGATCGTGTGTTGCAGCAGGAACCAAGCTCGATCGGTAGTTAGGGTTTCCATTCAAAACCTCGGTCACAGAGGTCGTTCGTCGAGTTCGTCCCTGTTCTCGCATTGGTCTGGTTCCAGAGATCTGAATCTCCTCTTCCGCGTGACCCAGAGGAGAACCTTCGTCCGGGCATCGAATTGGACCGAAGAGAGATCTCCGTACGAAACCCTCGGTAACTTCCCCTGTTTTTTTATGCAGAAGAAAACAGTGATATATGAAGCATTGTATTCTGCTTTTGCTGATATTCAATCATGAAACTAGGGTTTACCAGAATTTAGCATAGAATGATCTTATTCAGTAGCAAAATCTTATGGGTCTTTGTGATTCGACTATATAGTTTTTGATCTCTTTCAGCAGTAGCCTGTTCCATTTGCCTTTGTTCTTACATGTAGTTTTTCTGTGACTTTGACTTTGTGGGCACAGAATTAGATCGAGATGCAGATGAAGAACAGATTAAGGTCGCATACAGACGCTTGGCGAAGTTCTATCATCCGGATGGTAATTTTCTCGGTCCATTGCTTAGCTTTGATATGATTATTTTCATCAAAATTTGTGATCATTCTATAGTTGTTCATGAAATGAAATCAAACCAATGTCTATTTGGTGACAGAAATCCTCGGTTGGAACTGTGTTTCAAGAACCTTGTGTGTATCAGTCACTGCCCATCAATGGCTTGAGCTTTGCTTCACAAGTGTTGAGATTGTCTCTGTGTTATAGCACATAACAGTTAGAATGAAAATTTGTGGTCAATATGGGAAATAACCTGCTATCACATGACTTTGAAGTTTAGGAACATTGGTCGGTTATCTCGTTCTGGAAAATCTCGAAACAATACTCAGATGTCCAAGGAACCGACTTTAGGGCTCTTCATTCTTGCTTTTTTTTTTTTGTTAAACTAGGGCTCGTCATTCTGTTCTGTTCTATGCTGTATTCTTTTAAGAACTTCTATTATTCAGCCTTCCCTTGCTCGATAACACACGCTATGTTGCAACTCCGTTTGGCATTCTGTTTTAACTCCGTTAGCTTTGTCTCAATTGCGCTTCTTTCTGCAGTCTATGATGGAAAAGGGACGCTTGAGGAAGGAGAGACAGCGGAAGCGAGATTCATTAAGATTCAAGCTGCTTATGAATTGCTTATGGATACAGAGAAGAGAAGACAATACGATATGGATAACCGAGTTAATCCAATGAAGGTACAAGACTTCAATCCTTTCGTATTCATTTTAGGCATATCGGGATGAATTGCTTGTTACCGAAAGTAAATACCCTTTCTTTCTTTTTTTTTTGTGTGTGTGTAATGGATATATAGGCATCGCAAGCATGGATGGAATGGCTGATGAAGAAACGGAGAGCATTTGATCAGAGAGGTGACATGGCTATTGCAGCTTGGGCCGAGCAACAGCAGCGTGAAATGAGCATACGTGCACGCCGTCTTTCTCGTTCTAAGGTTATCTCGTTTTCTTTTATATCGTTCAAGATCCGTAATCTTGTCAAACGGAATTCAATTTTTTTACTTAATTGTTGCATAAATGGAAACCAAGAACAATGCCCATCTTTTACGGTGATCTCAACTCAAGGTAGCCAAAAAAAAAAACAACCTAAACTTGTGCCCACATAGCCATTTATCCGTATCCTGCCAAAGGGTTGAGCTTTACTTAAAGAGCATGAAAGATCATAAGACTTCTTTTGCCAATCATTATGGGAAAAACAAGTGTATACACATACGTGCATACATACATGCATATATGTGAATATGGAAAGGGTTGGGATTTGCAGATAGACCCGGAAGAAGAGAGGAAGCTGCTGGAGAAGGAGAAGAGAGCGTCGAGAGAGTATTTCAACAGCACTCTGAAACGGCACACGTTGGTGTTGAAGAAAAGAGATCTGATGAGAAGGAAAGCTCAAGAGGAGAAGAGAATGGTAATAAGCCAGCTCTTGGCAGCCGAAGGCCTTGAGCTTGATTCTGAAGAAGAAGAGGAGGAGGCCACCAAGTAGGGTTAATATTATTATTGTATTGTACAAAAATGCATCATATATCATTATTGTTATAATTATTTCACATCTTCATATATGAATCTCTATTATATGAAAAAATTGGTTGTATGGATTTATTATGATTTCAATTCAAGGGAGACAGCCACAAGTAGATAAGGAAAGAAGATCAATGGATTCAGGTAAGAGAGAGACCAATCATTAGATCTATATATATATATATATATATGTGTGTGTGTGTGTGTTTTTCTTGGTTTGTTCGATTATAATAAATAATAATATTGTAAAAAGAAAAAAAAAACAAGATTTATTGGGAATCTACCTTATCTAGCTGTACTTCATCTTTCTCCGTACCCCTCCTTCATTCCCCTCTTATCCCTTATTGGCCATGCATCTAGCCCATCTTCCTCCGTATATGCATATGTATATGTATATGTATATATGTGTTTGTGTTTTTTTTTTGTTTGTTTAGTTTCTAACTAAGTTCATACATTCTTTTATTTTGTTTTTTTATTTGATCAATATCTTTAGTTTTACAATTATTTATGTTAAAATTTATAATAGTAAAATAAACAAAACTTTTAAATTTCATCAGTAGAAGAGCACAATTAATTGCGTGAATAAAATATAACTGGAGATGAAGTGGACTGAAGTTCTAATGAACGTAGTCCTGTTATAAAAAAAAATTCAAAAAAATATCTCCTTTTTTAATTTAAAATTGGATTATTTATCGTGGTAGAATGTCATGTTTTATGTTTTCTCATTGTGAAAAGGTCGCATCCTATTAGCATCAGGGAAAAAAAACCTTTACCAAGATTATATACATACAAACTCCGTTTACAAAAAAAGGAGCATATATATATATATATATATATATAATACAAGTACCGTATATAATGTAAATCCTTAGAATAATAGTTAAAGAATAATTTTTATAATATAGATTATAGAACGAGATGTCCTAACATGTGATTAATGTTTACGCTTGATAGTAATAATTTTACATGGATTTTACACGCTACAATGAAATAGTATATTTTTTTTACTATAAAAATGTAAATATCTTATGATATGAAAAGCATATTCCATCGTCGGTGGCCCACTTTATGTATATTATAAATATATAAATCATAACTCACCTTTCCATACACATTTAACTGTCCAAAAAAAAATTCACTGCCTCATTCATTTCGACCGAATTTCACACAAACTTTTCTCTCCGACCCAAAAAGATTACTGCTCAGTCAAAAAAAATTACAACCCCGAAAAATTAAAACGAAGAAAACATGATTTTCAGATTCTTGGCATTTGGTAAGAAAATTTAAATTATTCACCAAAAAAAACTAAATATAACTAAGAACAGGTCTGATCTTCGCAACTTGCATGCCAAGAAAACATGATTTCAAACACTTTCCTCCCGGCGATCCTCCGCCGCCGATCTCCACCGCCGTCTGATGTACGGAATCAACATTATCATCATCATGGACAATTACATCATCCTTTTCACCATCCCCCTCACCATTATCCATGACAATATCTTCGGATGTTTTATCGTCTTCATGATCATGATGATGGTCGTCGTCATCATGGTTCCAAACGACGTCATTTTCATCGCCGCCGTCGAGGGGGACGAGCTGGAGAGTGAGGCGACCGTTGGATCTGTGAGCTCGGAAGTATTCATGGTGGCGAACCTTCTCCTCCCGCAGTATCAGCCGTCCATCGCTCGTGTAGACACGTGTCAGCACCCACGGCATGTGCGACGGACCCCCGCCGGAGCCAGTCCCGGAATCGGCGGCGGAAACTCACGCGCCTCCGACTTCTCCTCCTTCCTCCGGCACGGCGGGGGAATATTCCGGACGGGCTCGGGGAAAACGGCGTCGTTTAAGTCGTCGACGGAGAGGACATCGAAGCAGCTCTCGGTTCCGATGTAGTCTCCGATGGCGGCGGCGGCGGCGGAGGAGGAAGATGACGTCCGCGACAGTATGGATGACGTCATGACGTGGGTTTGGTCGCTTTCAATGGCGAGATGCTGCAGACCCATATCCATGGATTCCGACGATGAAATCTTCTCCATGGTACGCATTTACTAAACAAAAAAAAAATATCTGGGTTTTGTTTTTCTTCTCCTCGCTAATGGAGGTAGAGAGCTGCATGGAGAGATTTAAAGAGGGAGACAGCTAAGACAAGATGACGTCATGGTGGAGATGGAGTAGAGATTTTTCAGAATCTGAGACATTTAAGCTGTTTAACTTAATGTTTTTTCCCCTGGAAATGGAAAAAATATTGGAAAATAAGACAGAATTGGATAAATAAAAATCTAAACAATATAAGGAACAAATTTTAAAAAAATCAAATGTACACAATTCTTAACTAAGAAATTATCAAAAATAAAAATAAAAATAAAAATGAAACAAGAGGCGAGTTGTTTTGAAGCCGGTTTCAGGTTTTCCTGAAAGGAGAAAATTAAGTGGATGAAGGTTTTCTGCCACAAGCTTTATAATTAATAGAAGGTTTTGATTTTGTTTGAGAATATTATTATTAGGCTTTTTGGAAACTTAAAACCGTGGATTAGAAAAAAAAAACAAGATGTTTTTATTACCATAGTTCGCAGTAAGATATTTTTTTTTGTTATATAAGGGAATCAAAAATATTTATAGGTTGATAAATTTCAATTTCTTGTTTTGTATTTTTTTTTTCCTATTTGCCTTATGAAAACTTTTGGCATAGGAAGGAGTTGATTAGTGTATCTTGTTAGTGTTACCTAGTATTTTGGAAATTTCTAAATCGAAATTCTTTAGATTAATTAAAATTATTATTCAATACAAAGTAGTGTCTCTAGTTAGCATTTTCTAGTATTATGAAAGTTTGTAAAGTTATAATTATTTAAGTTAATTTATATAAAATTAACAAAAAATTATTAATAATTTCATAACTGTAAAACAAGTTAAGAATACCATATATTTTAATCGTATTGCTAATATTTAGTGATAAATTAATTTTTAGATCTGTCTAACTTTGAACATATTTGAAAAATAGAAAGTACATTTGGGGAATTAGATATGGACTAAAGATCCCAGCTAAGTTGCTTGAATTTGATCAAACAAAAGAAGAGATTTCATATATTTTTCTTCTCAATGAAAAAACAAATATCAATCTTTTTTTATATAAAATATCGCGCACCCTGTTTTGAATTTAAAATTTTCTTAAAATTGTAACGGACCTTGTTTTTTAATTTAATTTAATTAGTCATAGAACCGTTACAAAAAAAAAATTATAACGCCTCAAATTGAACTGTAAATATTTACAAAACGGGTAAAAAACAACAGAAGTGAAAACAGCCAAAATTTGGTTGCAAAAGTTGTAGATACCTTACAATAAAACAATATTACTATGAAACTTGAAAACTGAAATGTAACACGTGTTTCTATCATTCAGTCTCTTTATAAATATATATATATACATATACATATATACACACATATATATATTCTTTGTTGACAAATTAATCATTCGAATCAATGTTATATGAATTCAAACCTAATGGACAAATCGAGCAAGTCACGTTATATATTGTGCATGGATTTTTAAAAATTGAATGAAAATTTTCTTCCCAAGGATTCGGCATGCAATGATGGAACCTACTATGTTGCAGCATATATATATATATATATATATATATATATATGGCATAAACTATATATGAAAGTATACATTTTACAATCAAACACGAAACAGATGGAATATATTTAATAACGCAATCACGGAATCAATCATTTGATTAATAATCAAAATAAAAAAATTAAATCGTATAATTACGGCCCTGGTTTCTTCCTGGGGTTGAAGACGAGGTACGAACGTTACGCGCCTATCGTTCCCCTCTCGCTATCTCTTTTACACACGCAAAAAGATAATTTAATTAATGGAATTAATCAGTGTTAAATTATACAATGGATGAATTAATTTAGATTTTCAGTATCTCAATTCTCAAGTGTAAGAAAAGATTATATGGTTTTAGGGGATAATAATAATAATAATTAAAAAAAATAAATAGAGTGAAAGAAAAGGCGTAGTTGAAGGGATTTAGATTTATTAAGATTAGTTGTTTAATAAAGTCGGTCAATTTGTTCATTGCTGTTTTTTATCCTAACCCTTTCATAATTTTTTTTATAATGAAATCTTCATTTGATTTGGTTTATTAATTTGAATCCTTAACAAACAAAAAAAAAATATTAGATAAAAAGAAATGGTGTTAATAGTATTTATGTCATAGATATGAACGCATACATATATATATATATATATATGTGTGTGTGTGTGTGTGTGAGCATGTGTGTATAATTGTAAGTGATTGTGTTATGAATCTATGATTATAATTTACAAAATTATTTTATCTTACATTCCTAAAATATACACAAATATACCATACAATCTTTTAAAATACGATATTATTTTAGTGATGCTCCATTTTACTAAGTTTTATTTTCATCATTTATATATATTTGTTTTGTTATTTTTTTCATTTTCATTCATTTTAGATGTGATATAGATTCAATTAAATCTATTTCTTTTAAAAACAGCCAAATTTTGACGTAGTATTTTTGTATTTATTAGAGAATAGCATCTAAACAAACTGAATCGTGGAAAAATGCAAAAAAAAAAAAAAAATCCTAAACTGTAAAATTTCAATTTAAATTCTAATTTTTTCTTCACATTGAAATCGCATATTCAAATTTTCATTTTTCTTTACGAATCCGTAATAAAATGACCCTCTTATATCCTTTAAAATCCTAAATTTTCCAAACGAGAACAAAATATAAAGTCGGCAACTTTAAATTCATATAAACAAAAAAAAAAAAATCGCAACTAAAATCCATTAGAGAAGAAGACCAAAAATGAAGAGAGATGAAATTTCAGATTAACGTAAAAGATCAAAAGTCAAAAGAAAAAAAATCTAAAGCAAACTCACAGTAACAGCATGAAGAAAGAGACAACTGCTTGCGAGAAGGTACAAAAAAACAAGACAGAGTTTGGATTCACTGGTCACCAGGAAGTGTCTTGATGATGTCTGAATCACCTGAAAGCAAAGTAAATGACAAAGAAGAACAGAGGGAGATGAGTCAAATGCATTAGCTGTGAAATCTTTTGTTTGGATCGATCGGAGCTCGGGCTTAATATTAAAAAATGGCGCGTACCCGGATCCACGATGCTCAAGCACGACACACGGAAATACTTTCCGCAAGCTGTACCCAGATCGACGTTATCTGAAACAATCAAAGATCGAAATCAGAAGAAGAAAAAAGAAAAGAGGATAAGGAATGAGCTCTGCAGATATTTCTTGGTTCTAATAGAATAGTCATTTTGAGATGATTCTTGATGAGTTCCAAAGCAGCAGGTTCCATCACTTCACCCAGAAAACAACAAAAACTTATGGATATATTGCATGCTGGATGATGATGATGATGATGAATGACAGCAAGAGATGAGCTGAATTATTATTTATATGGTAATTGTTCAGTTCTTTGAAGTAAGGTGACATAACTACATGCTCGAATTCGATAAGATCAAGACTCTTTCAGATCATGATCTAGACTTTTAGTCTCAACCATTACACGATATGAAATGGAACCTAGGGTTTTTGTTCATGGATTATAATTTATAACCTCAGAGCAAGGAATCCATAGCACAGCAAGATTACATGTGAAAGATTTACAGTTTAATCTAAGAAGCTGAACAGTGACAAACAATAAAACACAAACCTGTCATCAATAGCCAAGCTAATGCAAAGGCTGACGCCTAAAATACTCAGAATTTCAACCTTATCAATACCCACAATTCTTTACAGTTTCCTGGACTATGATTACTACCAAATACATGCATTTTCATCATGAATCCGGATAACTCTTCAAGTCAGGAAAAAAACAAGAACAAGGTATATCTATGTGTGTATGTGTTTGTGTGTGTATATATACACAAACACAATGATTCAGAAACATCCAAATCACTAAGAGATATAAGAAAAGTCAACAAAAGAAGAATCTTACTTCCATTGTAGTGGTGGACACCAACTTTGGAGAGCATGGCGTAATACTCAATCTCCGACCTCCGCAATGGCGGGCAGTTGTTGGATATAAGTATCAATTTCCCTGCGAAATCATCGGAAAAAACCCAATTAAATAATCGACTGAACAATTCAGAATGAGCATTCGAAATCAAGGATAGCTCGAGTGAAGTACCTTTTGAGCTGCGGAGGGTTTTGAGGACGGATTTGTACCCGAGATTGTACTTTCCGCTCTTCATTACAAGAGCCAATCTACTGTTGATGCCCTCATGGGACTTCTTCTGCAATAATTAATCATAAAACACAAAACAAAACCAACAGAAAGTTTACATCTTTGGGTGAGTGATCTGAGATTGAAGAAAATCCAGATGATAAAAATGAAAAATTTGGAATTGGGGATGGAGACTAACCGTCTTCTTGGCCGTCACCATTGTCGCCGGAGATGAAAATGCGAAGAAGAAGATCCGAGCGCCGCGGCTGTGTAGTCGAGATTTTATAATATGAAGATTCGTGTGTTTATTTTTAGGGTTTTTTCCATGAAGAAGGCTTCTAAATTTCCAATGCTAAATGCCTCCTCTTTCATGGGTTGGGCCTTAGGCCTAACAGATATTTTTAAAATTATTAAAAAAACATATTATTTAAAAGTAAAAATGTTGTCATTTTTCTTTTTTTTTCTTTTTTTTTTGGGGGGAGGGGGTAAATGTAACTATTTATATGTTTTTTTTTAAAAAAATTCTATTTCTAATATTTAAAATTTTCAATTTAATTATTTATAATGAATACTCATTAGACATTAATCTTTTATGTCATCTGTTAAAATTGAAAATAATATTTTGTATTTAAAACTAAATGACCTGTACTAAAATAATAAATAATCTGCGGACCGGGTCCGGCCCGGTTTGTGTTGGGTTGGAGCAGAGATTTATTGGACCTAATAAAATATTTTTATATTATATAGATATAGTATTTTTATTAAAAAAACGTGTTTATATAAAATTTTCAAATAATTGGTATATTTATTAAAATAGATTTATATACATTTATTGAACTTTTTTCTAATTTTATATAATAAAAATCACCTACAATTTCAAATCTATCGCTTTAATTTAAACTTTGAGTTGTTAAAGGCAAATTTCAAGCAAAACAAGGAAACCTAACACGTGTTCAACATATGGCATTTGTCTTTAGATTCTGTGCTCAACGCTCCGCCATTTGTCATTCATTGAGGCATTGGTTCTATATATAACGCTCCTCTTCAACAACAAAAAAGAATATTTATCTCTCTCTAATCTATTAAATTTGAACCAATTTTTATGCCATTTCTTGTGTTTGTCCATCATTGATAATTACATTTTTCAAATTTCCTTTTGAGGATATATATATATATATATATATATATATATATATATATATATAATACATAC